CTGGCTGTAGCAGCGCTATAGCGCTGCTATAGCGCTGCACAGCAAAAACGCATAAAAATGAAGAAAGTTGTCATAATATTCTTGTAACTGTTACATTGTTCTTGTTGTCACTATTGTTGTCATTATTACTGTTGTTATTACTATTTATCAATATTAAGACCTACTCCATTTTGTAGAGCTTATTATTATATCTTATTATGATATGTTATACGAGTTTCTTAACTTATTATATTGTGTATATGTAACACCTTGAATCGAGAAGTTGGCGATGCTTGCAAAGGAAAAACTAGTTGTTTTTCTTGTTCTAAATCCGGCGTTCGTCGATTCATATTGCTTACCACTGCCACGTTACCTCGACTTACGCTATACACCTGAAAACAGGAGGGTAAAGTTGAAAGCAGTTTTCCAATTTTTGTGATACGAGAGAAGGCAAGTGGACGGAACAGCCAGCAAACCTGTTTTTTCGGTTTCGTTCGATTACGCAACCTCATATTAATGACCAGAATGACCAAAGTGATTAGAAGGATGAACAGCAGTATCAGTGAAGCAAGCGTTAAAATTTGGGTTTCGCTCAATGTTCCAGTTGTTGTAAACATGTCCAGAGACGAGAAATCACCAAACTAAAAAAACATGAAAAATGAAAAAAAATTCCTGGATTTTTTTAAATTTACACTTATAAATAATAAGTCCGAATTTCCGCCTTATTCGCACTCTGCGAAAGGTAAAAGCAACTGGGAAGTAAATTGAAGTGAGCAAATGTCAACAGCAACTACTTGCTGGCAAGACTTCGATGGCTCGCTGTTCAAAAATTGCTCAAAGTAAGCTGATAGCAAGGATTTTCAACACTGAATAATGAAATTTCGTCGCTCGTTTACACCGAATTACTCCAAACCAAAAGACCCTACAAATTTTTTCCTAAAAAAATTAATGAACTTGTTTTTCAAATAATACCTGAACAAATACTCTAGTTTTTGTGATTTGACGGCTGCTTGAGCTTGCAACAACCACAAATTCATCGAACGTTAAATTGGAAGTTATCCTGAAATTTTGATCAGAGTGAAAACTACCTTCGCATTCACTTTCTACAAAAAACAGAAGCACTCGGACTTAGTCTGAGAGCCATTTATGTCAGCCATATGCTGGGCAAAGCTACCGACGACTCCATTTTTTGAGGATTGCGCCGAAGTAAGCTAATAATTCTTTTGATTCCTTAATATCTTACTTCCAACATGTACGGGTTTTCCTACTTCTTTCTCTTGTCTGCGCATATATATCGAAAACGCATATTTTTAAGAACGTGAGCGCGTGTGTTCGTGTGTGTGTGTGTGTATGCGTGTGTGTGCGTATGCGCGTTTGTGTGTATATGTATGTGAGTGTATGCTTGTGTATGATGTGCATGTTTGTGTGGGCACGTATGTGTATTTTGTATGCACGTATATGTCAGTGTGTATTGACGTATTGTATGTGCGTGTATGCTTGTATGTATGTGTACATGAGTGTACGTTGCGCGTGTATGTGTGTGCGCTTTCGAATCAATGTGTGTATGCGCGTCAAAAAGTTTATAAATTAATACCAAATATGTACCTGTGGTCAAGTTCTCGCGATAATACAATTTGGCCAGTATTTGGATCGATACTTAAGTACCGTGTTGCATTTCCTTCCATTTCGTATTTAATCTCACCGTCCGATCCTGCATCCTGATCTGTTGCCGATACAACACCAATCCGTTGTCCAACTTGTGAATTTCGTGGAATCTTGAAAGATTCAGAATTTGGACCGAACTGATGTCCCGCTCCGGATGCAAAACTTTTACAAGATTTTATAAAAAATAAAAATTTCAGGTTTTCAAAGCTGAGTGAAGCTATTTATATGTACTGTATGCATGTATCAAAAGACAAGATCTCTTCCTTATTTACACTCTTCGAGAAGCGGGGGCCTTTAAAAGTAACCCAAGTTAATATTATTGGGATATTCGCAGCTATGTCACGCTCTTCGATTCTGAGCTGCACATCCTCAGTTAGTACCCACCGCCTGTACGTGTGTCCACCTGCTCAGGTGCCTTCCGAATGGTCATTTACTATCTCGCAAGTACCACTCATTAGTACATGGTACCCTCGTTTGTCAGCAAAAGGAACGATAATAACTCATAAATCACTACTAAATCACTCTTTATCAAAAAAAGTGCTTCGCTCGTATGTTATAAACTGAAGTAAAATTTAAATTCTAGAAAAAAAGGTGCAGCCTTACCTGAAATATATAGCTATTTTTCAAGAATACTGGCGGGTATTCATCAATGCCAATTACATTAATATGGACTGGCACCACTGCTGACCGGTCACTTACATCCCTGACACTGAGTGTGAATTCGAATTGCATCTGTGTTTCAAAGTCCAAATTTTTTGCGAGGATTATATGGCCATTACTTTTGTTGCATTCAAATGACTGAAATGTTGTCAGATCAGTTGATGTCATAATTTCTCCCACAATTTTATTCACGTCACATCAGAACAAATCCGGAAAGAAAGCGAAAAGCTAAGATTAATTTCAAATTTCGCGGTGTGCATGTCAGCGGCCGCATTTCTAAAATTTTGTCTCCCTCGCTTTCGTAATTCTAGATCTGAATTACCAGCACAAGAAGAATTATCAGCACAAATCCATAGATCCGAACTAACCATGAGCGAAAAACCAAGAACTAGCGCTAATTCTCTTATTTAATTTGTAACACGCCAAACGCAGTGATAAGCTGCACCATCACTGTGTGGAATGTCGAAGGTTCGATTCCACCATTGAGACAAACGGCCCCTCTACAATTCATTCGATCGCACTTGGTGCTCCTATACACCAAAGGGTCAAACCCGTCATTAGATTGTTTCTAGGCAATCTCTGAAAGAGCATCTTTCCAGTTTTCAATTTCTCATATAGCACTGGTTTTACAACCAGCGAGTGGATGAAGTTAGCTGCTTTCCTCTTTTTGGTACCCTTTTGGATTTTGAGCAGTGAAACTCATCGAACAAGCGTCATTATTTTCATTCAAGTAAAACAGCACCTCATCGTTGTTATTCAAAGCGTAGATCCAGTCTTCACCCGGCACTCCCAGCCCACTGACTGCTGTGGATCCCAAAATGGTACTTCCAATCGGTGTATCTTCAAACACGTTCACTTCGTACTGCGAAACGATAAACAAAGGTGCTGTAGCAGACCACCACTCTGGGTCGAATCGCACGTGAACACGGGTACAGTTCCATCGAGCGCCGCCATCCCTAGCTCCAATTATCAGGTCATCGAGAGTGCCATTCAGCAGTTGTTGCTGCTCGCCATCTTCTAGAGCTCCTTCGAAATATAGTACACCAGATGAGCTATTCAAGCCAAACATCCCATAATCATTTCCAGATAGTATCTGATAAGTGATCCGACCATCATCACCGCTGTCTTCATCTGTAGCTGTAAAGCTGAAAGAAAGAATTGCTAATGTCATCACGTTAAAAAAGGAGCCGATTTGCGCAAAATTGATGGTTATTGAAAAAGTTAATCATAATTACTCTAAGCTGATAATACTCTTAATAATACTGAGAGACTATCCAGATTCCTAGGTCTCAGTCTGGTGTTCAATGAGCTTTCAAAACATCAGGAACAAATTTAGAGGCTTCACTGATACAAAACAGTCGCTACAAAAATTAGTGAAAATAAAGATTTAAGGTCTATTTACTCTTTTGATCGAGAATTTTGGAAGCTTATCAATTTGAGCACCAAGCTGGGAGTTTTTAACTCGACGTGATGTGGCAGTCTTGACTTTGGATTCATCTCTTAAAGGAATTACCAGCTTAGCGGTTTTCTCCAAAAAAGTAATTATGAAGATCGTTTGAAACGTTTTGGTGCGCATTGAGCATCACCGTCTCGCTCTGAACGTTATCAATTCTAAGCCAAGTAAGGGATAATATTAATATTAGTGTTATTGTATACCTCGCCAGCATGTCATTGACATTCAGATGTTCGCTGATTGTCAATTCATTGATTTTATCAGTAAAATATGGTGAATTATCATTGATATCCAAAACTTTTACATGCACTTTAACTGAAGCATTAAATGTCGCATGTGGTGATACTGCTTCTACCTGGAAAAAACATACTGTATTCCAGGATCATAGATTAAAATACCATTTGTAAATGAAAGGATTTTCGGTGCACCTTTTTTTGAAAAAGGTTATGAACTCGAAAGGAAATGAACCGCTGGTTTCGACCCATTAGTTTTTACACCCGGAGCTTTTCATCTCAAAATTTGTCACAGAAACCCATAAAAAGCGATTTTATGATAACTGACCACAAATAAGTATTCAGATTTGAATTCGTTGTCAATTTGTTGCTTGAGGTATAAAGACCCGTCACGCATGATTCCGAAGAAGTTGTCTGTTTCAGAATCCTGAATCCGTAACGTGACATCCGAAGGAACACTATCCAGCAGGCTCACCTTGCCAAACGTAATATGAGGGAATGCGTTTTCAGGCACTTCGAAACTGAAATTTAGTATGGGAAGTTATGAATTAAACATTCAAGAAACAGCAGAGCTTAAGTGTTTTCTTAAAAAATACGGTAAGGATTACCAGCTCAGCGTCTCTCCCGACAAATGCACCTTACCTGACGGAAGAAGTGCTGAGTTGGTAATCCTTTCAGGAGGCTGATACTGATTGCAAACAATTTGCTATTGCTACTGCACGATTCCAACATTGAAATGTTTCTTTCAAATAGCTCCGGCGGCACTGCACAGCGGAAAGTAGCACTGTTACCGTACAGTAGGTCTGGAATTCTACACCGATGGTGGTACAATCGCTTACTTGTTTCGACTATAAACTGATACTGGCGTATGTTAGGAAATCAAATCCGCCACCAGTTTACTTCTAAACAATCCTCGTTAAGAAGCAGTCTTCCGTAGCCTTGCTAATGAGTATTTATTGCTGGCAGACTACTCGAACTGCTTGCGAGTGCTTCAGCTTCGCACAGGAGATTGAAGATAGCGGTGTTTCAACCTTTGAGTTGTCCAATCTGCTCCTTTTTTATGCAAGCCTTCTGAGATAGTGTGCCACCGGCTACTGTAGGTGATCTGCCTTCCCAATCTCTGCCACCCGTCTTTCAGTTACCCTCTCAATCTCCGTCTCTCCTCCAAAGATGTGCTGCAGAACTGAAAGAGTGCCCACTCAGTCTTTGCCACAGATCGTGCCATACTTCCATCACATTCTCAATCTCTAATACACTTTCATCTTTAACACCACAGTAATGGAGGAGAAGCTGAGATTGAGAGGGATGAAAATACAATGCACTCCGTGGTAGGGATTGAGAGGGTTCGCAAAATATTACAGTGCTGAATAACATGGAGGGGAATTTTCACTCCGATCCGCAGGAACTGTGGTTCGAGGGCCGAATTGTAAGCTTGTAGATATTGGGTGAATAACAGCTAATTGCTGATTATTGGACTTGTGGATGCATCCCAATTAAAACTTCCAACGTGTAATAACCATACCATTTGTCCGCGCAGTCCTGTTAGCTCTAAGAAGCAAGTATAACTTAGAAAAAAGTATGAAAAAATTAGTCAAAAAACGCAAAACTTGGCTAAAAGAGGAAAAATCAATAGGGAAATCTGCTTACACCGAGCAACTGAAAATGGAGCTAAAAACTTCAATTTTTCGACAGAATTCAAAACATAGGATTACAAGAACAAGAACGGTACGTTATGAGAAAAACTGAAGAATTAGTTTTTTTTTATCTTCTGGACACGGATCGTATTTCACAACTAAAAATCTAGAAAATTTCGACTAGCACTAAATCCAGAATGTGTGGGTCAATTGTACATATGTAGCTTTGCTGTCCAGTTATGCAGGTGTTTTACCTAAAGCTGTATCGTCTGGTGGTCAACCCACTGTTAGCAAATATTGCTATAATTTATATGAAAACAAAAATCAAAGCCAAAACTCTCTCAATAAACGCTCCGTATTAGAGACGGAAGTGATTTTGAAATAGCCTGAGCAGTAGCTAGTAACCGCAATAATTAGTCGCCAGAAAGACTTTCGATGACTCTTTCTTTCGAGGGTTGCTTACAAACAAGCTGACGGCGGGTTTGATTCCTTGGCATGTACCAGTACCAATTTAATACGAAAAGAATGAAAGACTAGTTGTTTCAGTAACAGAGTCGGGCTCTCGTTTTTCTGTTTGACAGTAGTATACTTCCTGTTTCGCCGTTCCCATTATAGAAAATAAATTGTTTCCACAAATAATAAATTCAGGAACCTGTACGACTTCTTAGCAAATCGTATTGGTTTGCGCTTTTCCGTTTCACCAATCGCAACGCGAACAACGACAGCTGAACCGAGTGATGGTTTACCGCGATCAAACGCATACACCTTCAGGTAATGCACCGATCGATCCTCCAGGTTAGCAGCTAGTGACAAGTCACCTGTTAAAGGAAGAATGATAAGAGATTGCTAGTGCAGCCAGCACGCTCTGGGGATTTCTTTGTAATAAAACCAAGACCTAACTAATTTTTTGCTCGGCTGTTATCTTACCTGTTTCCGAATCGATCTTGAATTTGCTACCACTACTGCTTCCGTTCACCAAGGCATACTGTACTTTTCCAGCAGCACCTGAATCAAGGTCCAGTGCTCGCAGTTTTGTGACCGTAGTACCAATTTTGGTACCTTTCGGTGCAGCAACCATGTAAAATTCATCCTCAAATTTTGGTACACAATCGTTCACATCCTCCACTTTCACAAGAAGTGTTGCACGTGATGTATTCTCGCCGTCTGTCACCTGAACGAAAATTCGCCGCAAATATTGTTAAGCCGAAAAAACTGTCCAAAATTACACCTTGCCAGGAAATCCTGGATAGATCATAAAACTTTACTCAAATTCAAGAACCCAGAAATTCCTTTTTGGGAGGCACAGAGTCACTCTCAGTATGGTACCAATTCACAAATATCAACCATTTGCTAGCCAAAGCACATCTCTAGTTAGTACCCACCTCCTGTCCCAATGTAAACATGCTACTCATTTGGAGGTCTCCCAAGTGGTTGTTTATTTTTGCACGAGTACTACCATTCACCAACAACGACATGAGTAGGCTTTTAATCAGCTGATTTATCTCAACAAAAATGATACCTCAATATCAAGCGAGTGCTCCTTTTGTGTTTCAAAATCCAAGTTCCCGACCAAAATTATCTTCCCCGAAAACGGGTCAATTTCAAACAGTTCATTGGAGGATGATGACGATGATGGCAGTAAGCTGTATTCCAAGAGTGTATCAGCGTCCACATCTGTTGCTGCTACTGTAGCTATTAAAGTACCATAACTCGCTGCTGCAAAATTACTCAAAACTTGAAGATGTTGATCTTTTCAGGGCTCCTTGGAATTTAAAAATTTTCAACCTCAGTCGAGCGAAACACATGCTCTCTTCTTCCTTGTTCTAGTCTTTCCCTAACGTGTCTGAAGAAAAGGGCAAAATGATTCGTTTAGAAATGAGGTAAACTGAGTCAAAGGACAAAGCATTTAACCAGACAAATATTTAAAATCAGCTGAAAGATGTAAGCAGCCGAAAATATAGAAAGAAGATAGTGTTTAAAATCGAAAAGTGAGCTCAGAAACGTTCAGAATAGCAAGAATATTAGGACGGTGATAAAGGATCGATCTAAATATCATATGTATTGATGGGCGTTCTGGTTGACAGCAGTTTGCGTTTCGTCTCTTAGCTGTAAACATAAAAAGATCTGAGCATTCAACGAAAAAGCCACATTTAATACCTATGGGAAATGGAAGCGTTCGGAAGTGGGCCTAGTGACAAAACCTTGCCAGTAACAACTATTCCATGCTTAATTCATCACCGGTTTCTTTTTCATATGTTCTTTTCAAATATGATTGGTGCTAAAATCATCCAAAGGCTCCACCTGGGCTAAAACGCATTTCACTCTGGGCTTATTTTAGTCGGGACTGGACAAATTTGAAGTATAATCTCTCCTTTCCAAAATTCGAGTGACTGATTACAGTAAGCGCTAAAAGAATGGCAATAATAACACTGAAAAACTAACATTCGGGAACTTTCAGAGGCTTCAGCACTGGGAACGTCGGAACATTATCGTTTGTGTTAATCACTTAAAAATTATTATTTAGTCACAGTTTCTCGGAAATTTAAAATTTTTCAAATTCTGAACTTTTATCGAATTCTGAACTTTTATCGAGCGCAGCCTAAGTCATTCCGGATTCTCCGCAGAAAAAGCTGTCAGAATAGCCAGTAATAGCTTAACGAACGTTCATGCATTACTATCCAGTACCATTACGACTACAAGAATCAGTGGTGGAGTAGTTGTTGTTCTAAGTATCAAGTGCTACTAAATATTCCACTCTGAGTATGAAAACAATATTGCAATAAAAAAGTCTTCGAAAAAGATGAATTTTTTGGAAAAAGGATTCAACGGCATTTTTTAGGTCTCTTACTAATCTTTAAATACTTGCCTCGAATACGCACATCAGTTTCAGCTGTATTCTTATAACTGCCCGTCCCGATCACTTTCAAGTGATACGAATTTTCGATTTCATAGTCCAGTTCCTGGGCTGTTGTGATCCGTCCATCGTTATCGATAGCGAATGCTGCGTCAATGTTTCCGCTTACGATACTATAGGTCAGTGGGGCATCTTCTGTCAGACGATCCGAACTGCTCACCTACAAAGTGAATGTTTTTCCAGATGATATATATAGCATTGTGGTACTCGCGAGAAAGTAAATGTCCACTCAGACGATCTCCGAAGAAATGACGCACATACACCGGGCAGATGGTGGATACCAACTAAAAGTATGCAGCCTTAAATCTAGAAGTCCTGACATAGCTGTCTCCAGTATATGGGAACATCCCACCAAAACATTTAAATTGAAAGCCAAATCGATTGTCTCGGCGATCTTGATGACCTTGCAGTTTAAGGATGATGTTAAGAACTTGTGGTATTCATTTTTAGTTACTCAACTTGCATCAAAATGTTTACAGGAAAAGCGAAAAGTTAAATTAAAGATACAAATGTTAGCTGAAATAGGCTGAATTGTGATGATGAAGGTGTAATTTCAAGAGAATGCATAGGCTAAAGAGGGTATGGTGCATAAAAACTAGACTTATAAGAAAGATTGTCAAGGCTCAGGTCTATTTTTTTGAGAACTAAAATTTGACAGTCGTAAAAGAAATGAATGGAAACAAATGGAAAAGAGGGAAACTGACCAGGGCACCGCTTTTTCGGCCAAGGATGGCCAGTTTGAAACGCACCCGTTTTTGTGCAAAAGCTAAACAACTTGCAGTGCAAACTGGTCTCAGGATTTCAGTAAATTTAATGGTACCTGTAGGACGAACTGGCCCCGCGGTTCACCTTCATTAACGAAACCAATGTAATTTGCACTGAGAAACTGTGGCTCCTGGAATGCCCATTCCATCTTAGCCCGTTTCAGACGAAGCTGAATGTCGCGTTCCGATGCAAGCACACGTGAAATTCCTTGATCTTCCGCACGAACTTTTATTTTGTACATATCGTGCAAGGTAGGATGATCTCTGAAATCATTGACGTAACTAGTCAATTAAGCTAAATTCTGTCTGGAAACATGAGGAAAATAAGTGAGGCCCAACCAGAGAAAAATGGAGAAATTGTCAGCTACAGCAAAAGCGTGAAGAAAAGCGAGGATGAAGCAGGAGCCGACGCAAGTTTAAATCAGTTCTTAGTTCGTTACCTCGCAAATATTATTTCTCCCGTGTCGGAACGAATATCAAGTAGACCGCTGCCATCTTCAACAATAATGTAGACGATTTTACCGCTGACACCTTCGTCAGCATCCCTTGCTGATAATCTACAAATTGCTCTTTTAAATATTTTACAGTGATACTTGATGACATATGGAGATGTAGCGCAGTAGACTGTAATAGTGCTTTCTTGCAGCAAGTCGAAACTTTGACTCCGCCAATGGAACAACCAGTCCCTCCACCATTCGTACATTCATTGCGGTACTGGCGTGTTCCATGGAGTTAAACCCGCCCTCAGTTCGGTTCTAAGCTACTCTCGAGAAACCCAGGCTGGAACGCACCAGGCGAGCCGGTGCGATCATGCGTTTTTGCATCAGACTTGAAATA